CGCGCATCCGTAGTCCGCCTGCTGCGACGCGTTGAGGCGCGCGACGCGGTCGTCGTTGGCGACGGCCCGCATTGCGTTCGTGATCGACTTGAGCTTGCGCTGCGTCGCGGCGAGCAGGTACTGGCGGCGCGACCGCAGGCCGCCCTCGGCGAGCAGGGGCGCAAAGTCGGCCGGCGGGGCGAGGGCGGTCTCGAAGCCCTGCCAGAAGGCGACGATGCGCTGCATCTCCTCCGTCGCCTGCTCGCTCGCGATCACCTTGAGGACGCGCAGCTTTGCGAGGAAGGCGTCCACGCGGTCGCCCACCAGCGCGGCCAGCGTGTCGGTGGTGACGGGCTCCGGCGCCAGCGTCACTCGCACTCGCTCGCCGTTGAGCAGGACCGTGTCGGGCTGCGCGGCGAGGAAGATGGCGTTGGGGCCGGGCTTGAGGTAGGTCGTGCCGACCGCCGTCGCGTCCCACGGCTGCACGTGGATGGCCGGCGGATCGGTGGTGAGCGTGAACGCGGAGGCCGTCGCCGCGCCGTCGAAGAGCGAGGCCATGCCGTCGACCACGCCGTCGAGGTCGGGCAAGCGGTGCACGTCGAGGTCGGCGATTGCGGAGCGCTCGCCAGCTGCAGTGTTGAACTGCAGCCACGCGGCGAGGGCGCGAGTGTCGGGCTCGGCGCGAGCCGACGTGATCAGCCGCACCGCGGCAGCGGTCACAATGGGCATGAGCGCCGTGAGCTGCGCCGCGATGGCCGAGGCGGCTGCCACGGACGCCTCCTGATCGTGCACCGCACCATCGGACACGACCAGGATGTTGGTGCGGCGGCCAGGAGTGAGCCGCGCCGGCAGGTGTGCGAAGACGTCGCGCATCTGCGTCGAGCCCTGCTGCGGCAGCTTGAAGTGCGGCAGCTCGCACGCGCGGATATCGAAGACCTCCGCCGTGCTGGCGAAGAGAATCAGGAGCAGCTTGTCGTTGTCCGAGACGCCGAGCCGGCGAAGCAGGGCCGGGAAGACGTGCTGCACCACGCGCGCCGACCACTGGCCCATGGACGCCGAGTTGTCGAGAATCAGTGCCCACTGCGTCGCCTTCTGCGCCGCCTTCTTGTTGTGTGTCGTCTCGTGTTTGGCAGCGAGCGCTGCCGAAGGGTCGATGTCGATGCGGCCTGCGCAGCACGGCGAGGGTGGATGGCGCGTGTGCCGGTGTGCTGAGTAGGTGACGGTTGTGCGCGTGCAGTGCAGGTGTGCAGCTTTGAAGGTGTGCCGGTGTGCAGGTATCACGGTACGCTTGCAGGGACGGTGCGCGATTGCACTCACCGATGAAGGAGCCGCCGGCGCGATGGAGCTCCATTTCGCGTGCTTTCTGGCTGTGTCCTCGACCCGTTCTGGACGTACAGGTACAGCCAGTTTTTTTTGAGAGCGCCTTTTCCTCGGTAAGCCGCCTTTTTCGGCTCTCTCGTGAAAAGCTGCGTGGCTCCGCGTCGTAACACGGACTGGTTGCCCGCCACCATCGTCGCCCATTGTTGCGCGGTGCAAGTGTGCCCGGTGTGCTGTCCGGCCCGAGGCAGAGGATGGCGGCTGGCACGCTGCCGCTTCCGTCCGCAGCCAGCGCGGCCGCGGCGGCGGAGCTCCCAGGGCCGCGCCCTAAACCGGGCTAAACCTGGTATGTGTAATAGGGTCCCCCACCCAGGCCGACCCCTGTTTAGACCCAGTTTATCGTTAAGGTGGCAGTCCGGGTTCTGTGAAGAGGGTCGCTGGTCGAATGCGAGCCAGTTCGCTCGCGACGCCGACGCCGACGCCGCCGCCGGAACGACCGCGGCGGCCGGTCGAGCGGCCGCCCCGGCCAGCGGCCGTATCGAGCCTGCCCGTCGCGAAGGTGCGGACCTCACGCGCCCCACCGGCCGCCCGCGCCGCCGCGCCCACGTCGCTCTCTCGAAGCCCAGCGCCACGCCGCTACGACTCCCATCGCGACGACTCCCGTGCTCGCTCCTGGCGCAGGCGATCGACTCCTGACACCCATCGAGCGGATGGGCGCGTTCCCGCCGCGACCCGGTACTCTCGAACGACTTTTGAGGGCAAAAGGTGCCGCCCGAGCCCATTCCCGCCGCCCGCCGCCCGAGATCAGCTGCCACCGGCCAGCGCGCGCGCGGAGACCTGCCGCGAGCGCCTCCGTGGCCCTAGCTGGGGTGATTAGCAAGCGCCTCGGCACTTTAGATTCGCCCCTCGGGCTTTTCCGCGCGCGTGATCAGTCTCGCGTTCTCTCCTTTTTCAGGCGCCTGTTTTCGGCCTCTGAAGAGCAACCGTCGAGGCGTCGATGCTCGCCTCCACGACCGCGCCAGACCTCCGCGATTGGGGCGCCTTGTCGACGGGATCAATTGTTATTCCGAACACATTTTTCTGGCATTTAACTCGCACGTCGGCGACTCTTAGTCGCTTCTCCGTGCTAGGAGGCCTCTGTTTTGTGTCCGTGAGGACTAGATCGAAACTAACATTTCGGCACATTTCAGTTAAATACCAGAAAAATGCGCGTTCACTCACAATTCATGTGTATATGAACGGTGCCGACGGGTTTGGCGAGCATCGAAGCCGTCCAGGCGCAGCAACGCGACGGATTCGGAGGCCGAGGGCTCCGAAAGAGCCTCCCGAGCGAGGCCGGCGCGGTCACGGTGCCGTGGCGGCCACCGACGTCGCCGGAGCGGCACTCCCGGGGCGCCACTCCCTCACCCGGTCAGGGGGGGCCAACCACAGCCCGCCTCACCGTCCGTGGAGCTTCCGTGGTCCGCCGCTTCGGCTTCGATTTTCGACCCTCCCGAGGCTGCTAGAGCAGCCCCGCGGAGCCTCCCGGATGCACCAGCACACCGTCGTCCAGAACGCCTCTGCACGCGCTGCCCAGTGACTGGGCGGGTCGGCCCCGACTAGGGGCGGGCCCAGCCGCGCGGAGAAGACCATCCCACTCGCGGTTCGTCGCACCGTCCGCTCCGGTTTTCGTCTCGAGCGGGTCGCGAGACGGCCGCGAGAGCGAGCACCGCGGTCACGGTACCGTGGAGGCCACAGACGTCGCCGGAGCGGCACTCCCGGGGCGCCACTCCCTCACCCGGTCAGGGGGGGTCAACCACAGCCCGCCTCACCGTCCGTGGAGCTTCCGTGGTCCGCCGCTCCGGCTTCGATTTTCGACCCTCCCGAGGCTGCTAGAGCAGCCCCGCGGAGCCTCCCGGATGCATCGGCACACCGTCGTCCAGGATGACGGCGCACGCGCTGCCCAGTGACTGGGCGGGTCGGCCCCGACTAGGGGCGGGCCCAGCCGCGCGGAGAAGGCCAGCGAGCTCGAAACACGTCGCCGCGGCCGGCCGTTTCGCAAGCCTGAGCGGGTCGCCAGACACCCGCGAGAGCCAGCAGCTAGAGCGCCGTCGTAGCCGCAGATCGAGTCGAGGAGCTTGATGTCCACGGTAGCAGTTGTGGAGAGCGGTGGCACGGTGCGTGTAGACGCGTCGATTGAGGGCTCCCTTTCGAAACGCGACGGGTACGGCATGACAACTGCCAGCACAGTTTTACGCCGGCCAGCGTGAGAGCACAACAGGGAGCCGGCGACCCGTACGCTTTGCGCGTGGCGACTGGTGGCTGTCTGGAGCTCGTGTGAGCTGGGCCGACGCGTGGCCGAGCCGAGAGGACCAGCGAGCGACCACGTTGGCGATGAAGCTTGGCGGCCGGCGCCTCGTCGCCAGACGTCACAGCGGCGTGGACGTAGGAGTGTGCGGCGACGGTTACCGGCAAATCCGGCCCAGTGTGGCCGGCAGCTGCCTAGCGCTGGCCTGTGGCCGGCGCCGCGGTGGCGGAGAAGGCGTCTCGCCGCCGTGGCGGCGGTCGGCAGGTGCGAGCGTGATGCCATCTTGCGGGACGACACCCGTCTCGCAAAACCCGGACTGCCACCTTAACAGGACTAATCTGGTTCGTGTTCAGCCGTGGTCTAAACTGGGTCTAAACATGGTCTAAACTGGTTCGCCGTGCACCCTCATTTAGGCGGCTCCGGTGGTGAGCCGGGGTGTGTGCCAGTCCGCGCCAGTCCGCGCCCTTGTCGCGCCAGTGTGCTGTGAGAGAGGCTTGTGTTTTAAGAATTCTTCCTTCCAAGTGCGCTCCAGCGGGCGGACTGCACTCCAAGTGCTCCAAGGGCGGCACTCCAAGTGCTCAAAGATCTCCAACAGGCGCCACAGTCCGGCTCGATCTGCTGTAGGTACTGTTCTGTCTGCCTCGCTCGTCGCTGGCGTTGTTTTGCTCGCTCCCTACAAGTTGTAGCTGCTAGCATGCTGGCTGAGAGGCTGTGTGCAGTGTCCCAGTGTGGTGCTGGAGTGTGGGTGGCTATTCCGGTTAAGGATTTATCTTTACGGATCGGCGGCGGGACACGCCGATCTACACAACAAATATGAGGCAACTAGTGTGACGCGAGAAACTCGCTGTCACTCTGCGGGCAGAGACGTCCTACGGCCTACGTACTCTCGATCGCACGCCGGTAGTTCTCGCCTGGCTGGACTAGGTCATCATGCTCGAGCATCTCCTTCAGGGGCTGCAGCCATTCAGCAGCCACGGGCGCGCCCAAGTCTCGGGAGTTCCTGCGGCTATGACGGTGAACGTGTGCGCCTCGCAGCTCCTGCAGCCATTCAGAGGACGCGCCCGAGCCCGCCGAGTTCTTGCGGCGGTGTCTGGCTGGCAGAAGCTCGTCGCTCGGCCCGCGGCTGTGTTCCCGGCTGCTGTCGCCAGCTGGGCTGACGCCCCCC